TTTTTTTCAAAGAAAGCATTCCATTAGGTTATAGTGTTTTTTTTTTGGACAGCTCAGATTTAAACTAAAATCAATTTTTTTAATTGCAAAAAAATCTACATATATATATTGTACATAAAGTGAATCAGAAAACATACCACTAGCATGTGAAGTAATACGATAAACATAGAACCATTTCTAAAACCGATATTATCCAGTAGAATTCCAGCGATACTGGGACCGATGAAAGCTCCGAGAGCAAACGTACTTGTCCACAATCCGCTGATGAGGCCATAAGTTTCAAGATTATTTGGAAATCCAAATGATCTTGACATGGAACACGAATTAAAAGCATTATCAATTTTAGCACATGAAAATTAAATTTTTTTTGTGTTTTAGAGGAAAAATTGTCATAAAAGATTTGTTTCGGAAAGTTGTTTAAAATGACATATTATACAACATATTAAAAGTTCTGATCGCTAGCAGACTTGGAAAACTTTTCAGTTTCACAAAACTGATCAATAATGCGATTTTTTCAAAAATATCTCAGAAAGTATTTATTTCATCGAAATAAAGGCTATTATAAAAAAAGAAAACAGATAAAATTACGAACAATTTCGTTTTTTCTTAAAAGTCAAACGATTAATACTTTCCATAATAGAATTTTTTAAAGAATGTTGTATTTTTGACAATTTGAACTTTTGTTGTAAATATCTCAGATTTAGCTACTTTTACGTACAAAATAACACGAAGATTAAAAATTATTAAATTCTCTACAAAATCGTTTTTTATTCGTCTTCGTATGACCAATAGTTTCCGAGAAAGATTTATTTACGTAATTAGTCTAAAAAAAACATTTTGTTTTTAAGTTAAATATTAAATTTAAGTTAAATATTAAATAAATTACTGTGTTAATTAAATTTCCAAGATAATAATTAAAAAAAAAATCATATATATTATATCATTATTTGCATATGTTTCGGCTAATCTTTTAGTCTTCTTCAACAAATAATGTGCACTGTAAATTTGCTGAAAAAAGCTAAAAGATTGGTCGAAACACATACAAGTAATGATATACAATAATATATAATTAATTTACAGAAACAAAAACTATGCATTGTCTACAGTGCCAATTCCCAATTGCCTGTTTATATGATTTTTTTGAATTATTTTATTTTTGTTTATTTGTACATTACTCGCGTCTGGCAATATATTTTGATGATATAAACAAATATATTATAAATTTTTATTATATATATAATAATCAAGCTTATCCAGAATCTCTTTTGTGAAAATTTATTTCAGTTAAAATATCTCAGAAACTAAAATCATAATAAAAAATTTAATGATAATTTCATTACATGTTCGAAGTACGTTTTTGATTGCGATTAATCCGATTAAAATCGGTACATTCAATCTTGAGAGATCTCAAGATCTCTTAACCCAAAAAAATCATTTGTGTCATTTTCCAAGTTTCAGACTCACATGTACATACACACGTAAAGTTTGTTATTCAAGGGACTTTTACAATGTTTATATATAGAATAGAATAAAATATTTATTCGCTTCAGCATAAAGCCAAGGAGAGTACTTGGTTTACAATTCTCTTTAACTCATTCATTCTTCCATACTTTTTACACTTCCTTATTTGTTCATCCTTCCTACTTCCTAATCTTATAATCAACTATCAGTTATAATAAAATACCTATATATAATAATATTAAAAAATTATGCAATGTAAATGAATATTAACGTATGCACATAGTCTATTTAAAATATATAACATACTAATATAAATATAGAGTTACGCGCGCGCGCGTGTTGAATCAAAGCTCCTTTGAGATGATAAATCTTTCAATGAACATATGTCAGTTTTATCTTATAACGAAACTCATTGTATCAGGAAACACAATGATTTTGTCAACTTAAATGTGAAAAGGATCCAAACCAAGGTTCGAAACGTATGTTCATTGAGAGATTAAATAAAGGAATTATTTCACACCAAGATCTAGTGCATGATTCACAAAAGCATTAATTTATTGATCAATAATATATTAAAATAAAATCATCATCGTCCGAATTCATCGACGCCGACCAATGATATTGAGAAGGCGAGAAATTCATAAATATCAGCAATAATATCAGCAAATTAATAGATTATGAGATCACATCATAGAGTATTAAGAATCACATCATAAATAATATTATTTCTACTAATTTATTTTAAATATATACATTGTTACATCTGTTTCATATTTCAGTATTTTCAATTCCGGCTGAGGCCAAATATATAAAAAATTTATAATGAATTTATGTTATCCATTATTTTTGTCAACAGTCATTTTAGCACGAAAATATAAATGATAATATAATGAAAATCTTATAAATATATTGACTTGCTTGATTATCAATTTTTTCGAATTTTTTCTACTATTTTGAATCAATCATTTAAAATTTTTTACATTGTATTTGATTTTAAAAATCTTATCTTTTCAGTATACACAACAAAATAATAAGATCAATTTCGAAAATTGCACGTTTTTTCCGATCCCTTTTGATTTATTGCAAGATATCTTTTGTGCCACGATTTTTTTCGACTTTTTTGCTTAAAAATTCTTATTTTTCAATCTTCAAACGATCAATTAAAAAAAAAATTATTATTAAAATCGATGTATTATAACTTGAGATACAAGCAAAAAAAGATGTCAGGTTAGAAATATCCGTTGTGCATGGGGATTTTTTTGGGTGTGTACTGAGAGTTAATGTTCACATTTTCATGATTAAGGTATGAGAACAGAAAGAGATATATACATCACTTAGCTTTTGCGGCACTAACCGAATTAGCAATCAGTCACTATCAGAATTAGCAATCTGAATAATATACTATACTAATTGTCAATGTTGTATCTCCGAAACTATTGGTTCTAAAATGAATATGAACAGAATGTTAAATTCAAGATAAATTATCTATTAAGAGGTCAGAAAATGTCGTTATTCTAACATTTTTTCAAATACATTGTTTTTACAATTTATATACTATAAATTTCAGTCAAAAAATCATCGTAAAAAACTTTTTCTTCAAACAACTGTATCTTGCAAAATTTATGAGAGAGAAGAAAAAAAGCTTTTATAAGAAATTTTATAAGTTTCAATTTGATATATTTTACTTTTTACGTAAATCCTTTAAAAACTGAGATATTTATAAAAGAAGTTACGGAAAACATGTTTTTTAAGAAAATGTTGAAAAAAGGCAATTTTTCTCGAAGTTGTTTTTTCAAATATAAATTTTGGAAAGTGATGCCCAACTAGAAATCGTATATAAATACATGTGAACTTTGAAAAATATTATTTTTTCCAATTCGATTATATACCTGTATTGATAAATAAACTCATATTTTAATGTAAATTGAGGATCCCATAATATTTTTGAAACACCATATCTTGGGAACTATTGATCGTACGAGGCTAAAGAAAAAACATTTTTAAGCTAATTCTATAAGCTTTTAAACTATTTTTCACATACGAAGCACGTTATTCATTAAAATATATTACAATTAGAGAAAATTTATTTATATCTTGACAACTATTCGTCGAGGTTCAATAAAAAATGATTTTGTAGGGAATTTAAAAACCGTTTGATTTAATAATGAGTACTTTTTACGTAGGAGTAGCCGAATCTGAGATAATTAAACGATTAATAAAACGTTAAAAAAATAAGTTTTGCTAAAAAATAAAAGGAAACATTCTTAAAATTGTATCTCGGAAAATATATTGATCCTACAAGGATGAACAAAAAACGATTTTGTAAAAAATTTAGTAACCTTCAATTTTTATAAAAAGTATTTTGTACATAAAAATAACCAGATCTGAGATATTAACAAAGAATGTGTGAAAAATCATTCTCGAAATGACCAAAAATATAATTCTTTAAAAAATTTGATCACGAAAAATATTATATTATACGACCTTAAAAAATAATTGTTTATAAATTGTTTATAATTTTATCAGCTTTCTTTTTGATAATGATCTTTCGATTAAATAATTACGTTCTGAGATATTTTTAAAAAACCGCATTTTTGATCAGTTTTTTTAGGAAAGTTTTTCAAGTCCGCTGGTAGTTTTTATGACAATTGCCTACAAAAATCTAATTTTCCTGGGCTATTTGTAGTTCATTAGAAGATCATTAATTTATAACTTAAATTGCAATTGACTTGCGAATTATGTGAATAATAATAATAATTGAAATTCATAAATAGAAAATTATTTTTTTGTACGCGACTTACATAGATGTTCGTAAGGCATCCGTGAAGCTTGCAACCAGTTGAGCAGCCATGCCTAAGCCGTGGATCACAAGGCCGCTGATAGGCATCCAGATTATAGTGGGTGACGGAATAAATGGCGCTGGACCGACCAGCGAGAAACCGATCATTACGAGAAAGCAGCCGGCAACAGTTGCTACCTGAAGAGCGTTATATCTTTTTTGCGTTAATATATATTTACGATGATTACGATGATTTACGATGACAAATATAATACCTTGGGACGGAAGTTAACTCGAGATTACGTTTGGAATTATTTGTGATATAATTTATGGAGATAATAATTCAAGGTTGGAATTCTATGTAGAATCGTAATGATCTTTTTTCTATATTTACAATACGAGATTACCTTTGGGTGCCAATAATTGTCGCAAAGCCAGCCCCATGCAGGCGCAGTTAGCGCGTAGGTACCGCCATTAATCACAAACATCAATCCTAACACGACTGGGCTTAAGTTGAATTGCCTCAGATGCGGTTCAAGTGTAGCTTGTAAAAATCCGATGCTCATGCTCGTTGCGATTATTGACATGGAGGCGATCATCACGCCGGGAATTTTTAAGACTTTCATTACTCCTACGAATTGTAACGAATAATGTATTGTAAATAGGGTTACGATCATATGATTTAAATATTCATAAATTTGAAGGAACAGTACCTCCAGTGCTGTGTGCATCATTATCATTGTTATTATGTACGGGTAAAATGAAAGCAGTACTAACTGCTGCCACAAACAATGCTGAGCCAAGCACCGCGAATGGTGTAGTATATCCACCTATCTATATCCAATATAATATAATTCTAATAATTCTAATACCTATTCACGTTATTGGCATTTAGATAAAAATATCGCATGTGCTGCAATTAACGTGTTATTTTGCGAATATGTACAAAATGTAGATATCTGCGTTTAAAATATAAGCAAGAAAAGAGCAAATCATTAAGAATATGTTACCTGATAGAGTGCTCCTCCTACAGTAGGACCTACGATAAGACCCAAGCCGAAGAAAGTTTCCAAACTGGCAAATGTTGTAGCAACATTGTTGGGGAATTCTTTGGCGATAATGGCAAAACTAGCTGTTAGAAATGCAGCATTTCCCATTGCTTCCACAATTCTAATCACGAAAGACAGGATTATGAAAGGATAATGACCGTTGACTCTGTCCAATAAACCGAAAAATATGGCGCAGGTTCCTGTAGTTAGGATACCGCCATTGAACAGTAATTTCGGACCGATTCGATTGAGCTGCGAAAGACAATAAATTAAATTCAATAAAAAAAAAGTTATGATAAATAATAATCTTATTAAGGATGTATGTATATATATATATATATATA